GAGGGGGGAGGGAGAGCGGGGAGGGGGGAGAGAGAGAGAGAGAGAGAGAGAGCTCTCCCTCCTCATTTTCTTAGAACGCTATCAATCCTATCGGATTAGAAGTCCACCGTTATGACAGCGTAAATTACCTCCTAAAAGCCCTGTCTCCAAAATACAGTAACACTGGGTTAGGGCTTGAACATGTGAATTTGGGGGGGCACACAATTCAGTCCATCGCAAGCTCTAAGGATTCCTTTTGAGAACTGGTGGATTTTTGCTAAAAAAATTATTGGGATTCATGTTATCTATTATAAAAACATACAGCGGTAATTTTGAGGAACATATCTGTTAAGTTGCTTGGAGAATATCTACAACAGTGGATCACAAACTTCAGAACATAACAGTCACCTGCACACCCATTAATTTGCAGATTTCTAGGCTTCCCTCCAGACCCGCTGAGTTAATCTAAGGGGCAAGCCCAGGAATCTCTATTTAAGTAAGTAATCCAGGTGACTTACAGGGAGGCGGCCCATGGACCACATGTGAGAAACAATGATGTGGAGGTTTGAAAGAGTTAATCCGCTTCTCACGGTGAGAAACTCCTGGCTTCGCCTTGTCAGGGAGCTCTTCCTCCTCTGCGCCCGTTCACATTCACCACCCAGTTGCAATTAGTCATATTCTCCCTGCGATACAGCTTCTATTTTTGTCTCAAGGTATTTCAATCTTGACTTTTTAAATGAACTTTGCGAGTGTTGTCTTGCCGTCCAAAAGGGATTATAAACTCCTTGAAAGCAGAGACGCCCTGGCGTCGCTTCACAGCTGCAGGAGATTCAAGGACCGTGTACAAAGTAGGCACCAAACACACCTTATTGAATCACTTTGCTTTACAACTTTTAACTTCTTTTAACTACAAAAATAAAACATCTCCTCCCCCCACCCGCCGGCTTCTGTCCTGTTCTTCAGCAGGGAATCCATGCACCCGGGGAACAGAAGCAAGCTCTGCACTCAAGTTCCCCTCAAGATGTCACCCGAGCATAGGCTCTATGAAGTGCCCGGGAGGAACCTGGGGGGCAAGAGCGCCCGTGAGAAGCCGGGATGCGTGTGCCGCTCAGCCCTTCTTCCCACGTCCCCTCGTCGGCCACGCTCATCGTCACGCTCTTCTTTCCCATCCCCTGAAACGCATTTTCCTTCCAAGTTCACGTCCACTGCTCGCCTGTTCTCCTCACTTTGCCTTCCTGCCTCCACCTGCCTCCTCACCAGCCTCCACTCCTTCTACTTGCTCTCCCTGCTCCTGAAGGCAAAAAAACTGACTAAGGTAAGTACAGCTGTACTGCTTTCAATTTTATACAGTAACACTGGTAGCAGAATGTTGCCACAGATGCTGAGTGAATAAAGAAAAGCAGACAGAGGTGGACTGACTATATAAAACACTAGAGGGGCAAGGAGGCTGAGAAAGCCCACTGCACTGTAACAGTAGGATGACTCTGGTCGTCCCACGACCTGTGGCTTTGGGGACATAACGAGGGGCAGAGCCCAGCCTAATGGGCGGGAGCGTGAGTGGGAGACGGGAAGTGGAGAGAATAAAGATGAACTAATGGAAACAAACCCAATTCAGCTCGTGTCGTTTCAAGGTCAGGTGCGTGCCAGGCCCTGGGGGTACCACGATGACTCAGTTCCCTCCCCACAGGCTCCCGGGATTCGGGGGCCAGACGGAGCCCTGGCGTGACAACCACCGCGGGCCCTGAGGGACACGGCGACGGGCAAGACTCCACAGGGAGGCGGCAGCACCTTCGGGCCGGCAGGTCCTGCTGCCGGGGACACGCAGGCCATGCCAGTCACCAGGTGGGGGCCCCGGGCTAGCACACACGGTATCAACAAAAAGAACACGGTTCCTTCCCTCGAGGCTCCCAGAGAGAAGTATGCAGAGAGCACCTGGACACACCACCGAGTCATGAAGACCAGTCTAGGAGGGTTTCTGGAAGGCAGGGGTGGTTCACCATGCCAAAATCTCTACGGGTGAACAAGCAGTCTTCCTTGGAGGTCGGCTACCAAGGAGTTAACGGTGGATTAGAGAGGAGCAGAAGCAAGGTGCTAGCGGGAGGCTGGGGGGCAGGTGGGGGCTGAAGGTCTGACAACTCCAGTTCTATGGTTCCCTCGGGGGGGCGGAGACGGCACCTCACTACTACTTTCCGATGGCCTCCACCAGCACACGAAGGTCCTCAGTGAACACCTGATGAGTAACCGACAGAGGAAGTTGCCATTCCCAGAAGGCCTACGCCAGCTCCCCCCGACTGGAGCCCCCGCTGCCTCCACAGCCCCGGCCACACGGAAGCCGTACAAGATGCTGTTAAAAACCCATCAGAAAGTACATTAAGAGAGTCATTAACTTTAACGGGATTTTGGAAATGGAGCAGCTTCAGGGATGCTCCTCGCCAGCACAGACAGGCTCACGTTTCATCCATAGGCTCCCCCTCCGCACAGCTCGCCAGGAAGGCTATTCCACAACCACACCCGACAGGGCTGCAGTGCCTCCGGGGGAGGGGGCCCCACCTGATCTGCCATCTGTCCGTGGGTCCATGATGACGAACTCGGGCCGCAACTTGCTGATGCGCCTCCCCTTAAGGATGGGCACGAGCCCGCCCAGGTGCTCCAGGTAGAGCGTGTAGCAGGGGCCGCCCACCTCGGGGTCGTCCTCTGTGCGCTTCATGGTGCAGTGCAGACGCTCGCTGCCGGTCGATGGGTAGCTGACGAAGTCTCGCATGTTGCTGGGGTCTGGAATTGGGGGCTGGAGGCAGGACACAGAAGGAAGAGAGTGTGGGCACCACTGATACTCTGCACTGGCTGCAGCTCAGGAAGGGTTAACTATGTGCCGTGAAACAGGGACTCGCAGTGCCGGGTGTGTGTCAGGATGCCAGCGGTTAGGACTCGGCGCTTTCACTGCTGGGGCCCGGGTTCAATCCCTGGTCAGGGAACTGAGATCCCACAAGCCGCATGGTATGACCAAAGAATAAAAAAAGAATCTCCTGGGGGCTTTTAAAAAATACCTAAGCCAGACAATGAAACTGGAATCTCCAGGGGATAAGCCTGGGCATGTGCATTTTCTAAAAACTCCCCCAGGTGATTCCACTGTGCAGCCAGGGTGGAGAATCACTATTGCAAAACCAAGATTGTAAACCAACTAGAAAAAAAACATCATAACAGGTTCTAAAACTCTGGTGTTTTAGAAAAAAAGTAACCAACAAGCCAATCTGATACTTAGAAGCAAAGATAAAAAACAAAAAAAGAGAATACAGAAAAGAACCTAAGGTGCAGAGGGCCAGAGGCTAAGGCAGAAACCCACCCTTGGACATCAACTGGCAGCTATGTTCCACACACTCCCACTGAGAACAGACTAGTTTCTGGGTTACAACCCGTATAAAGGACAGCTGACAGTGAGTGCTGGCAGGGGTCAGCTTCCTCGGCACAGTGGTGAGGAAAGCAGGCCCTAGGACTGAACTGGGCTCAATCCCAACCATTCTCATAGCTATCTATGGAGCGAGTTACCTGACTTCTAAGAACACGTTTCCCGCTGTCTCACGTGGGAACAATGGCAGCATCTGCCCGCAAGTCAGGACTGAACGGACGGACTGACCGTCGGGAGGCCACAGCAGTCAGGCTCGGAATACTGCCTTTACCACAAGAAAGCTCACGTCCATCACACAAGGCGAGTCCCCCGTGGACACTAATGCTAGGGACTGACAGCACGCAGGGAGGACCACGGCAGAACTCTGGGGAGCCGCACGACTTCTGTGGTCCTGCTCTGGGCCTCTCGCCCATCTCCCTGACTCCGCCCTCCTCCCGGTGGTCCTTCTGGGGCAGGCAGGCAGCCAGTAGGGTGAAGGAGGAGGAGGGGGAAGGCTTTACCTTGATGGTGGGGATGAAGGCAGTGGAGAGGTAGGAGCAAAGGCGGGGGGGCAGGGTCAGCTTGCTGACGTCCTTGTCCTCTCGCAGGGCGCTGGCAATGGCCTGCTGGCACAGCAGCTGCAGGCTGGACACCCGGTGCTCCACACGTACCACGTACAGGGCCGGTCCTGACGCCATCAGCAGCCGAGAGTCCCGGTGTCCCCAGCAGATGGAGATGATGGGGCGCTGCCGGGAAGGGAAGGGAGACTATGTGTAAGCTTTTGCTCTTGTGAAAAGCAAGGAAAGATCACGCTCTCTGTGTCGAGCAAAATAAAATGATCTAACAGATTTTTAGAATGTTGGTTTTAAAAAGCACAGTTGAGGATATTAAATCCTACATTATAGAAAGTTGTTATTTTCAGGCTTTCCCTGGTGGTGCAGTGGTTAAGAATCCACCTGCCAATGCAGGGCACACGGGTTTGAGCCCTGATCCGGGAAGATCCCACATGCCGTGGAGCAACTGAGCCCGTGCGCCACAACTACTGAGCCTGAGCTCTAGAGCCCGAGAGCCACAACTACTGAGCCTGCGTGCCCAGAGCCCGTGCTCCGCAACAAGAGAAGCCACCGCAATGAGAAGCCCGCACACCGCAACAAAGAGCAGCCCCCGCTCGCCGCAACTAGAGAAAGCCCGCGCGCAGCAACGAAGATCCAACGCAGCCAAAAAATAAAATTAATTAATTAAGAAAAAAATAGTCGGTATTTTCATTGAAAAGTAGTTAGATCCCCAGGCCAGAGCACAAAGCACCGGAATAGTGTTACCAAGTTCTTTTACATGTATTATCTCATTTAATTTGGTGACATAAAACCTAACTTAGCTCCATATAATGACATCTCTGCCAGGAGATGCAAACAGCCTGCGGTACACAGTAACCCATATTCCTTACTGAGGCTCTGGCTACCTGGATCCTCAAGTAACAGGGGTAGTTTCCAAGGCTTGGAGAGGTAGGGAGGAGGTAGACCAGATGGCCCTTCCCTTTTGTCCCTTTAAGGAACATTTCAGGGTCAGATCAACATTGGATTTGAGTCACAAGCTCATGACCCAGGGAACAATACAGGTCTCGTACTTTCTCACGAGTAAAAAGGGGGCTGTGAGGATTAAAGGAGATGAAAGAAATCAGAGTGCTTCTGGGACTCATCACAGGTGATAACCCACAGATATTCAATCACTGTTATTCTCAGCCATCCTTGAGCCGATGGGGCAGGAAAGGGGAGAGAGAGGGACACAGTTCCTGTGGCAGCTGCTCTAGGGGTTTGTGGCCATTATTTGCTTTGAAGAGGCAGGCTGGAATCCAAACATGCAAGTTAGAAACTGGTTGCACTGGGAAAAAAAAATCCGAAGCTCAGGGGTGCCATCTAGGAAAGATCAGCCAAGGAAGAAAGAAAGAGGTGGAGGGTCGTGATGGGGAAGCAGCGAGAGAATTTGCTCACTCTGATCCAGACAGGTGGAGTTCTAATTTAATGAAGTCTTGAGGGGTTTCAAAGATCAGAAGTGGGGATACCAGATCTTTTATAGGAAACAGGAAGAGAACTTTCGCAGCACTTTAGTGACAAGCATCAAGATAAAAGAAACACATGAAGACACTTGCTTAAAACAGCCTCCAGGGTCAGCTAATCCCGGCTTCGAATTCAAAACAAAAATGCAAGGCTGAAGATAACTTCATCAATTTCCATCATGGTGAGGCCCGGCAGCCGATGGGTAGGACCACAGCCGCAGTCCCCTGGAGGAGGGTCATAGGGCCTGGAGCTCAGTCTGGGGGCTTCAGAGTACTTCCAAGAAGGGCCTCCTTATAAAAGGGTCCCTCACAGAGGGTAGATCCCCACAGAGGAAACTGTTAGGTTAGAGCAAGACATAATCACTGCCGAAGACACGGCAGATGACACACAAAAAATATATGAAGAGAGTTTCTTCAGTATGACCAACCCCCATAAGTGCAGTTAGGACAAAGCTCTATTGGTAGCATAATCATGCTTGATCTTAAAGCTGTAAACCACCCTGCCAACCCCCAAGTCTCCGAAGATAATATTTACAACCTACAGCTCAAATAATGAAGAACCGTTTCCAATTAGCACAATCTGACTTGGTTGGAACTGGCTGCAAAAGTACCAGACACTTCTTTCTTCTAATTTTCCATGAGTTTTGAATCCATCTACCTGATGTCCCAGTGGTCACAATGCAAGAACACATATATTCATCCTCTCTTCCCCTCCCTCCTCCTGGTTTGCTTTTCATAGTAATTACAGTAATTAATTTCACAGTAATTAACAGCTGATTACGTGTTTTGGGAGGGTCTTCCGTAAGATTATCATTATGATAAGTATGTTATAGCTTTGTAAAAAGGAATTTAAACCACTTTATAGACTTTCACGTCTATAAACAGATAAAAATCCTATCTGTTATAATTACAGGTATAATCACTACCCATCTTAACAAAAATTAACAATCAGGTCTTAAAATCTAACTACATTCCAGTTGCACATTAAGGTACCTTAATAAGCACCCGTATTATCTCATTTAATCCTCTCAACTCTGCCACACAGGCATCATTATTCCCAGTTAACATATGTGGAAACTGAGACTAAGAGAGCTCCATAACTCACAGCTGATCAGCAGGAGAGCACACTCTCACCCATCCCCCAGCCCCACTGCTTATGCTCATCTTACTACAACACGCTGCCTCTCTGTCAACCACAAATACAGTCACGAACCCCAATTCTCCCCACAGTTCTCCCCTTAATCTGCTTGGTCAAGGCTATTTTACTCAGAAACAGACCCAACAACGGATGTGTAGAAAAGGCAACAGATAAGAGGAGAAACGAGCTGCATAAACCACAAGGGGACAACAATGACCGGAATAACTCATTGTGGCAGAAAAGAGCCCCCCGGTCACGTGGGCCCGCGCTCGGCGGTAACCCAGCCACACGGCGCTGCCGGGTGGGCGCGAAGCAGCAGAAAGTGGAGGAAGCGCCATGCCCTCCACACCCGGCATCGCGAAATGAGGAAAACTGAGAATTCTCAGCAAGGAGGAGTGAAAGGACTGAAAACTAGACCTGGGAAAAAAGACCTGGAATAATTTGGCCTGGAGAAGTGATGCCTGCAGGGTCTCAGAGGACCTGTTATCTGGAGCAAGGTGACCAGGAAACCCCCTTTTCTAAGAGCAGGACAAGACCACTACCACTAGGAATTTATAGTACAGTACAGTATGGTACAGCATTCACTTACTTGCCCAAGTCAGTGATGATTTATTTATTTCAGCAAAGGGGGAAATCACACTCATTTAATTTATTTTTACAGCATATGCCCCACGTAAGATAATGAAGTAGCAAAATAAATACTGTTGCCTTATGCCATAATAAATCGTAAAGCTGTATTAGAAAAGTAAGGGAAAATTTACAACTAGTGAAAGCTGATACTCTTGTCTGAAGATTTTGAGGTACCACTGACATGGGGAAATTGACTGTCATAGTTACCACTGAGTCTGAGGCCAGTAAGTAGGGCCATGACCTCTCAGGATCCCTGTAAGTCCTGTAAGGCCGTAGGAAGTCCTACTACCTGGGATCCAATGCACAGCATGGTGATTACAGTTAACAATACTGTACAAATACCCAGAAGTTACTAAGAGAGAAGATCTTATATGTTCTCACCACAGAAGAGAAATGGTAATTATGTGACATGAGGGAGCTGAGAGCTAACTTCATGGCAGTAATCATACTGCCATACATACGTACAGCAAATCCAGACGTTGTAGACCTCAAACTTACAAAGTGTCCATATCAAATATATCTTAATAAAACTGGAAATAAATAAATAAGAAAATTAACACACACAACAAAATCCTTTTATACCTTGCTTATACTTGTACCGTTTTTTACATGTCATCTTACTTTTTACAAGTCTCATTTCCTGCCGGTGCTCATCTTCCTGTGCTGTTTACTGGCACTCCAGCCTGCAAAGCCCTCAGTACAAGCGTTTTCTCAGAAAGGACAGGAATCAGGGCGTTTGTAAACACATGTGCCCGCAGACACAGGGTGGGGGCGTCCTGATTCAGCGGCCTTGGCCCCTGGGACCCGCCGCTGCAGGTAGAATAGGAATCCCCTGCTCACTGCCCGCCACCCCCACCCCCCC